TATACACATACATTAAAGTACAATCTTCATACACATATGTTAAAGTACAATCATTTCATACATGTACATTAAAGTACAATCTTCATACACACATGTTAAAGTACAATCATTTCATACATGTACATTAAAGTACAATCTTCATACACACATGTTAAAGTACAATCATTTCATACATGTACATTAAAGTACAATCTTCTTACACATACATTCAAGTACAATCATTTCATACACATACATTAAAGTACAATCTTCATACACACACATTAAAAAAATAAAAATCTTCAGCAGAGAAAATTAATGAAACTTAAATAAGTTTATACAACTAGTACATAAGCGATGAGCAAAGTTTTGAGAATTTCAAAGTGTACAATAAAATTTAATTATCGCATTTTGTTTTTCGTTAATAATTTAATACATTGAAGCTTAAAGAACTTACTTCTCGCATAATGACCATAAGTTCCAGACAAAACGTACAGCAATTTAGGAATAATGAGGATGGAACCTATCCCAATGATGGCGCCCAACAATAGTCCTCCCAAATCTATTTTGGTTGGCGCGTAAGACGATACTCCGTAGCCCTGTCAATTATCGTTTTATCAGATAATAAGCAAAAAATATTCTCCTAATAATAAATCATGTAATTTCACTCACGCTTCCCGTGGTACCAAGATTTGTGAAACCAAATCGAGCATCCTGACTGCGTTCCGCGATGTCGTTGGATTCCGTGTCACCCCGTTTCGTCGACGTTTCGCTTCGTAATTCCACTTGAGAAGGCATGGCTATTTGATCCCGAGACTTTGCGTTCTTCTCCAAATAGACCATTGAACTCGGCACAAACCTACGTACAATTTCTTTGTTTGACTTTGGACATTGTCACGAGGAAAATGAACATGTTACCTTTGTGTGTTCGTTACTTAAAATTCGATCTATGAAACTATGCTTGGAAAACCAGATAGTAAATCGTAGTCGTTAAATTAACTTTATAGCAACAGTTCTTGTGTACCATCATACTAATGAACAAACTTGAAGTTTAACAAACTGAAAGATCTTACCCTCCATCGTCGAACTTTGGATTACCCTTAGCGGCGACTATCGACGAAACGAGGATCAAGACGATCCCTCGAAGATCAAACATCTGTAAAAATTTCCAAGGATAAGAAGAGTAGAATTGTTATTGATGATGATTGAAAGTATGAAGATGTACCTCGAAGAAGGATGAACAGGAGATTTAGTGGGCGTGTGTTGTAGATCGGTTTTGAAGAAACTGAACGAGGACAACGTGGTTTTGTGGCATATATAGTCATGCACCTACTCCGATGGTCACGACATGACAAACCATGGACAATAATTGGAGCCGGTGGTTTCGCTTTCATTGTTAGATTTTCATGGGGACGCCATCACGGGTGCGTGACTCGTTCGTCTCCCCTGAAGTAGCAGGAGGACGTTAAACTGTCGACACGAATCACTCGCGATGAGTATTGTTATTGTGCAGGCAAGCATCTTTAAATCGTAGAAACTTTTTGTAAATCTTTTGCAAAAATTTCGATACCACTTCTTGTTATGTTACCACAAACTGTAGGTACAGAAAATTATTGAATTTCTTCTTTAATCATATAGATCTACGCACTCTACTGGTGCAAAGATATTAATAGTGTACATAAAGATTCATATAAAAGTGGCAATATAACGAGAGCTTATCGCAATAACAGATGTACAATATATTTTACAACTTCTGTTATGTAAAATTAGCTTTGAAAATATAATTGACGCACCTTATAATAAATTTAGATAAAATAAAGAATAACAATGTGATTCTACATACTTTTCATAAGTGTGTAACATTGACCAAAGTGTTAGACGTTAAGACTTGTTAACATCTTCAGTGTTATAAAAGTTCAGTCTCGTGAAAGAAATTATATTTGTAACATAAGAGTACTAGAAATGAGAGACACTGTGAAACATCTTTTAATTTGCGTGTGCATTCATATGCGAGGTTTGTTATTGCACGCATACGAGGGCACGACTTTCGTGAATTTTCTAGAGCAACCTCCAGAACGAATTCCTTGTCTGAAATTCAACCTGAGACAAAGTCGCAATACGTATATATTGCATTATAGTTTCACGAAGTTTCTAAGGTCTCTTGTTCTGCTGGTAAGACATTTCTGTACACTTATGTGATTTTTGTTACAATACAATTATCTACAATTATGAGCATTCGACCGTCTAGAATTAACTCAACGGGTAATCTTTAATACGTGTTCATTTGAGTAAATCTACACCAAAAGAAACAGGTCAAATATTGTTCAAATGTGACAGAATGCTAAGTCGTTAGTTACGAGTACGTTTTGCAAGTTGTGAAAGATGGAAAATTCGACGAGGTACGAGGTGCGCAAAAATTTTTAAGCGTGACGATGAGAGACGCAACGACGCTCGTTTCCCGACGGTAATTGAACCAGAAGTATCCTTTAGGCTCGTTAATTCCGCTCGTGGAAACGGAATTTCCTAGTTGACAAGGGTGGGCTGGTGCCTGTACAAAAAGTGCCGGCAGGAATCAAGGATTCGTCATATGAGCTTCTGTGCTCCAATTGGTCAAGTCACCTCTAAAGAGCATCGCGTAAGTGTTAACCAATCTCTCAACAATCATTTACAATCTCCAAATTAATCATATTTACATATTATTTTAGTGAAAATAAATCATGAAAAATTTAATAATATCTATGGTTACTCTCACGCTATTTTCCATAACATATCCCTCCGAAGCAATAGATTCTGACAGAAAGGCAAGGATTTCTAAAGCGGAGAGTAAAGTATTTGGAAAAAAGCCAAGCAGTGGATTGATTTCTTTCAACTCGGAAGAAGAGAAGCTTCATGTGAGTTGTCAGTGGATAACAATTTGGTTTATTAAATATACACCTGTACATATTTTTTATTGTTCCAGATTGACTGGTCCGTAACGATTCCCTTTATTTCGATACCTCTTCAACACAGAAGCGAGCATGGAGAAATTCCATCTCTACTTAACGTTAACACAAAGCCCCTAGGAATAGTCGGACTGATCACTGCGCTGCTTAGCGTGATCACGCCACTATTTTCCAAAACGCATCCACAACACCACTATCGTAATTGACTCATTTCTATCATCTGCGTTTGTAAGTATATTCTTATAATTTTTTCCCATGCGCAGGTTCCGATGACAGTACTCAGTGGTTACAAATGGGTAACGTCATCAACGAGATGATTTTCAATAACGACTACGTGATACCTTGTGTGCAACAAATTGTTTGCTCCGTTGTTTCGTTCGCGAAGCATACAGAACATCCAACCAATACAGACAAGATAATCGACGGTTTCTCAAGGTAATATTAAAAAAATAATTTAATATTAAAGAAAATTAATGACTTTGATTTCAAAAAACAGTTACAAATGGTTCAAAGATTTCACAAACGGCACAATCGTCGAGGAAGCTATAGCTGTGGGTCAAAAAGGAAACCTCGATTGCGCACAGGTTTACAAGGACTGTTTGCTAAGTCCGAAACTTCTGAAGATTATGATGAACGAGCTTGGTATAGTCTGACCGTCCGATGTAATCATACTCTTTGTACAAATACAAACGCAAGATAGAATAATTGTTTTCGTGAAAGTAAAAACATTCCTTTGACGTTGTTTCACACTTCAAATGTAAGTAAGCTCGAGGAAATACCTTATTATCCTAACTCGCGCGGTGTGAAACGTTATCGTGTGCACGCCAGCGTGGTTTAAACATAATCGTACTCACTTAAGACTTTCACTTTTCGTTGACCATTGTCTGAAGTGCTTAAACGACGCTACCATTATAAAATATGAAAACATGGTTGTACATCATAGAATCGTTACTACGACATTCCAACTAGAACATTCGTACAATGCAAGGACAATCGCTTAAAAGACACGCTTCACTATTGCACCAGGCATTAAACCTGTTATTTTCTCCTAAATGTATTCCGTCATGTGGCACACGCTTTCGTTAAATTACGGAGATTAACGTAACTAGGATCCAGGATGGGAGACCTCGAACTTCCAGCAGTTTAAATATAAAAATCCCAAGTTCCTAAATTTCCAAATCCTGTTCTTAATTTATTAAGACCTGGGCTTAATAAATGGGAACCTAGCCTCGGGATAAAAATCTTAGTTACGTCAATGCAGACACATTATCGTTTTGGTTTCATTTCGTCGCCTCCGTCGCAAGCGATATGTCCGATGTATTCGAAGGTGACAGCAACGAGGCTGCTTCGGTGGACTCCGCGTTTACAGCCAGGTCGTATGGAGATTGATTCGTCTTGTCGAAAGAGTCCACTTCTGCGCCATGTTCCAACAAGAATTTAACAGCTTGCACCTTGTTGTGCAGAGCAGCGATATGTAGTGGTGTTCTTCCAGAGAAATCTTTCTGCGAGAGGTCGGCGTTAGCGAGATGATACGACCGGAGACGTTTCACGTTACCAACGGCTGCTGCGACACACATCTTCTCACCTATCAAGTGTGCGCTTCCATGTAAGTGGGCGCCACACTGCAGCAAGATCTTAATGACCTGGATAATTGAAGCGAAAGATTGCTTTAATTTTAGTGGCAGATACCATCTTTTTTGATGCATGTTGAAATATAAATTATTTAATAATAGAATGGTATTTTTATTCAACCTCCTCTTCGTTAAATTTAGATGATTATTTAAATCATAACAGAAATACATTTTACCTCGTAATGATCGTATTCTATAGCGTCCGTAAGCGGTGTACGATCGAATCGATCCTTGATATGTACATTCGCACCCATTCGTAACAGGCAACGCACAACTTTCAAGTCTCCCTCGCAACAAGCGATATGCAATGCTGTTCGACCGTCCGCGTTTCTCTGCGAAACATCTGCACCCTACAAATGCAATATTTACTAATGTAAAAAGAGAATTAGATATTCATTTAAATTTAGACCAGTCCAGTAGATACTCAGCAGATAATTTTGAATTGACCTTTTCTTTTTAACTTATCTCGGTATGTATTTATGCTAAAAATGTATGACGATTCGAGGTCAAGTACAAGAGGCAGTTCAAGTTATTCAGATGTTGCATGTCAAGTAGCGATCATAGAGTGTTACGAATTTCAAATGGTGGAGAACGTACTAATTATCCTTCGCCATTATTGTAACTAAATGCCTCCTAATTGGCCTTCCCACACAGTCTACCTCAAAAATCCAGTGACGTCACTGTAATTGTCCTTTCCGTTCTACTCACATATTCCTTCAACGCTTCGAGTTTGTCTATATCGTGGCTGAGAACAGCGGCGTTTAGCATAGCGGGAAATAGTATCGAGCCTAATTCTTGCAACTCAGCAGTAGAGGAGAGCTTTAAAGACCTGGCGACCGCATCAACAAGATCCAGATCTTGAAGAGACGGAGGGCGTCCAGCGGTCAACTCTCCGCGCAAATTTGTCTGCATCATTTGACGTTTGGTTTCCGTGTCCCATTCCTTCTTCGATAACACGTAGGCGAGTTTGGTTAACGCAGCCTCGGGTGTCATGTCAAAGCCAGATATCACACCTACGCGGGAGACATTCTATTATACTAAAAATACTTGGAAAAGTGTTTGACAACAAATATCGAGTTTCTCTACCAGCATCCTCTAGTAATTTTCCAGGTTCGTATATACTTGAAACGCATCCAGTCGAGCATTGCGTAATGTTGACGATGATTATACCGCGTTTTGTAGCCGCGCGTAGTTCTGTAATTATATCCTCCCGATTCATGGGCATATTTCCTGCTCCGTAGGATTGTAAGACGACGCCTTCGATCGGGGGCTGCAGAAATGCTTTCACCAGATCTGTCGTTATACTTGGAAATATACGAAGTAACCCGACGTTCCTGTTCAGGGACGCGTTTGCGTGGAACTTCTCCAACGTGCACGAGCGAAATATTGCGCGATAATCCACTGTAATGCAAACATAATTTATAATTACATATACAGTCTTATAATTATATATAAATCTCTAAATTTTATTAACAGTATCTATCAACTTTAACGGCCGCCGTTTCATCGCCATTTAGTCTATTTTAGTCTGCGAAGTTCATGATTGCGCTCGGAACGCTCTAACTTCTCCACAGACATAAAATGACCTACATAAATCCAATCGTTACCAACTGAACGGATCGTATCCTATAATTGGGTCGACTGCTAACCTTCTACCTTAATGTTAGCTTTCGCCAGAGGAGGAAAATTCGGGGAATTAAATGCCTCGAACGACGATGCCGATACTTTGCATGTACGATTCCCCCTCATCAAATTCGTCCCAAAGAATACGCATACTTCCGGTATGTTGTAATTAGCGGCTATTACTAGAGACGACAGGAAGTTATCCAGGCCATCGGTCCTCGTGTCAAAGATGGGAACCTGAGAGCCGGTTAAAATAACTATCTTGCCCAGGGATTCAAGCATGAACGACAGGGCAGATGCGGTGTAACTTAACGTGTCCGTTCCGTGTAGTATGACAAAACCGTCGAAATGTTCATACGATTCCTAGAACAAATATTAAAATTCCATATTATCGCTGTTTGGTAATACCACAAGTTTTTATTACCAAGTCATAATAAGAATATAAACGTTTGCAATTTTCTAGTTTCATTTACATACATTAGCATACAGTTAGACTAAATTTGTATTCGTCTTATCAGTATACACGTGTTAGTGCCGCTCATATCGCATATATAAACACATATTACCTTGATGTCGTTAGCGATACGAATCCAATCGTCCATTGTCATATTACTAGAATCGCAAAGCGGCGAATACTCCAATACGTTGTACACGACGCGCACCATGTCGGTGTCATTCATTCTATAAATAACAGATATAGAAAACAAAACGTTGGATCAGCATATCAGAGGAATTAACTGATAATTCTATACTAAATTGGGCCTAAACTGCTGTCCGAACTTACGGAAGTACCAGGGGCCCCATAGATCCAAATCGTTCATCCGCGTACTCGCGATCATGCATTTGAGGATATTTCCGTAATTTCTTCACGAATGCGTTCGCCTTAGGTACAAAAACTGTAACAAATATAAAAATTAATTAAATTTTGTACGAATTCCTGATAGACAATTTTAAACATCTTACAGCACCTCCATTCTCGTTCCTAATCATTCCAATCGTGCCTCCAGTGTATAGTACCAGCACGCGGCCATCCCGAATACTCTCACTAGCCAAACGACCGGAACTATGGTTTCTCAGGTGTTCCATATCACTTCTACTATTTCTCTGGAAATTATTGCCATTGTGAAGAGTGTTCACAGACGCGTGTGACATGCTGACCACTCTACGTGCCCTCTTGGGCAAATGTTATCGTAGCGAAGTTTCTATTAGGATTGATTTGTTGTGCAATTTCTTTCGTTGAGCGCGAACGGCGATCAAGGTTCTTGACGCACGTGCTTTCCAAACCGGCGTGTATGTAGACCAAGCAGTCGGTAAGAGTCAGTTACGTCAAGGTATACACGGATGATTCACAGCCAAAATCTTTGAACTCAAAGAATCACTGGAGCAAAACGTATTTAATTAGATTTCTTCGATGTGCGACGTATTGCGAAATTCGTGAACATTTCGTCATAAGCAATACTTACGAGATAACATTTAAAGAAATATTAATACATTGATATACACTGTCTGCTGTGTACTTAAATCTAAATTAAAATTGTGGACTTTCGAAGTTTGTTAAGGTTTAATATTTACTGGACATAATGCAGCGAAAAATATACAAAGCGTTTAAAAAATGTCTATTAGCTAAAATTACGTATCTGCGTATTTATGTTTACATGTTGAATTCGATCTATAAGCAATACAAGATAAAATACAGATTCTATCGAGTTTAACTTCGACGAATCATTTAAATTTCACTTTATCACGAATTTCTTAGCAGTCCTTGACCCGATCGTTATTTATTGAAGTCTATAAGCGAATGTTTCCTAAGCATGCGTACACGATATATCTAGTTTGAAACGTAGAACATTGTTATACCTAAAATCCAAGAACATTAAACAAAGTGACGGACTAAGAAGCTTTATTTTGTAGAAAAAGTTAAGTATCTGTTTGCAAATATATACAATCCCGGGATCGGTAAAGTTCTTTCTCGAAAATCAACATGTGATCCAAACGCATTTTTGTGTTCACTCGTCTATCCTTCTTAATGGTCTTCGAGTGTTAGAGACAACCTACCAATAAATGTCCATATTAAACGCGTACGATTTAATAATTTATTCTATGCATCGCATACCTTTTCTTCCTGTAGTCGAAAATAATATCCTTTAATCAAATCATACGTAACCAGAACAAATGATCCACATATAGTCGTTAACAGATTAGCAAAAACTCCTCTATAAAACCCCACTGGACCATCTCTTTCTATAATCCTACGGATCTACAGCGACACAACGTGTTAATTTAAAAATGGATGTTAACATTTCCTATCATATCTCATTTTACCGACCACTTGTCGCGTCGTCACGTAGTTTTTCAAACCACGTCCACTCGCAAGCATTTTTTGCCTGCCTATCGTATCCAAAGGATAGGCAATCATTGTTCCAGTGAAAGATGATAACTGAGCAAGCGCCAAGGATACAAAAAATGGTGTTTGTATTACAGGCATCTTGGATTCTGACGAGTCTAAATTTAAGTATGTTTGTTTGCTGATTGTATAGATACCAAAGTAAGCTGACCTATAAAAGTTATTAGAACTTGATAATCTAATCTGCATCGTATTGGAAATGTCTTCAAATCAAGGAAGAACAATACAGTAGTGTCGTGTTATGTCTCTGAGGACGAGACTATATGCGCGGGAAAATCAGAAATGGCGGTTAGCAAGAGCCCTTTTCATGCATGTACAGCAAGTACATTATACATAACACGAGACTACACTGCATAGTCTTTGAAATCGCAATAATAAAAATCAATAGTTTATTGCTACTTTAAACCTGTATATAAACATTCCAACCATCATGCTCGACATTCCTTGGTAGAAGCCGATGATTCCATCGCTCTTATAAACTTTACTTATGCAATCCCTTAAATTTAAAAACTCTCGTTGCATCATCTTGTTGTCGCCGACATCTGCAGATATTCGGGTATTGCAAAAATTGAAAGGAAAGAGGAGTAAACATGTGGTAACACCAACGGCACCACCCGACAGAAACGGAAGGATAATATGTTCATGATTTGTCTTCGATTCAATGATCTGTATAATACTATTTAATGTTTATGTGCGAACGTAATTATTTCCCTTAGAAAGTGTAGAGGAGTGTCTCCCAAGAAAAGGCAAGTGATAGAAGACTCCTCTCCTACATTCGGATATGCAAAACGAAATATGAATATGAGCGGGAAATTTAAAAAGAAATAAACGTCTAATTAATTCTTAAACTTGAATAAATATGATTAAATTGCTTTTGAACATACTTTTTGAAAGGCGTTGTAGTATATATCAAAAAAGGAAAAATTAATTGCTTGGGCTGGAAAATATCGACATATATTGAGCAGGTTACCACGCCAGAAAGAAAGAAAACCTTGTTCTTTGGGTATTCTAATGAGTGCGTCCAGGAAACCTGAGTATGGGGTTCTTTCCGTCGTTCCTATTTGATAACTACTCGCCTGTGTTTGTAGAATTAATTTGATTCTTTCTAGTGGCGCGGTTAGAGTTTTAAACATCATCGACAAGAGTCCAGAAAGGGCAAAAGAAACGACGAAATCAGTAGCCCCACCTGACCCACTGTATTTACTAATAGCATCGACTTCAGATTCACTTTCTGCCACATTTTTCCTTTCTTTCATTATCAATTTCGGTTATTATATATAGATTATTTCATGATTACAAAGATACGAGAGGATACCAACATCTTGCGCGACTCGAATAACGTTATCCCCACCATGACTGACCACTCCGCTGATAATATACGTGGTGCACAGAAATATATGCATGCAGGAAACTCTCTAGATCTTTATGTTCATAGTATTAAAAAATCACCTAGTATATGTGTTTGACACTACATCGTCGTAAGGGCGAATATGCGTTACTCTTGGTTACAAATTGTACTAACTAATCAAAGTTAACATGCGCAGAATGAAAACTCGTTCGACGATAATATTCCTTCATGAATGAAAATATATTATCTGTGACCGAAGGAAATTTAAATGTAGAATAGACAAACTTCACGAGGTTAATTTTACACGTGTGCCAGTTTTTATTAAACCAATCAAAAGACATAAAAATAATGCAAGTACAATAAACAATTATTCAATTTGCAAAATGGAATTAATCTTGGATTTCCTTGATGAGGCTAATGACCACAACAATCGGCGTTCATAAATGCAAATAATCAACCAATTTTCCCGATATTAATCGCATACATATGGTCCGTAACGTGCTTGACGAGAAACAAGTTAATATCTGTATTTATTATGGATGGAATTAGTATAAAAGACAAACTAGAAGCTTATAGACGTCAAAAACGCAAAGCAGAAATGACGGAATCCATTAAATATGCGATAAACAATGTCTTACCGTGGAATGGAAATAAAACCCCTACGGATTCTACGGTGTTACTAGCGACTAACGACGTTGAGGTAGGATTATGTTATTTTGTGATGTGTAGTGCCCCTAATCGTTTAGTTACTGATGTATATCTCCAGTATTCTTACATCATGCGATAAACAAATATTAATGTAGCTTATAAATTGTATTCATCATATATTGAAACAGTGTTTATGCAAAAGTTGAAATAACAAATTAGTGTGATTGAAGATTAAAAGTTTACAGGATGTCGAAGATGTGGAAAGCAATTCTTCAGATGATAGTACAGACCAATCTCAGTGTTCTGTACTAACAGCAGTAACGAATCTCCTCTACTTTCTTCTGTGGGTTACTTTATATGTGATTGCGATCAAATATGAATTTGGAGCAATATATTTTATTGTATCGATGTTGATATTTATTTGGTTGAATACTGGTACAAAAAAAAAGAAACCAGGTGAACTTAGTGCATACTCTGTGTTCAATCCAGACTGTAAACCTATAGAAGGAACACTTGATGCTTCGCAACTTGAAAAAGAAATACGATATGGTATAGCAAGCATACACTAACATAAAACTTTTAAATTCATCTTATTTATCACAGGCAGAAGTAATACATATTTTGTACTTCTTTTTATGTACATAAACATAGATATGTATGCGTGCATTTTATAACATCTGAATGAAAAATAGGAACTCCTAAATGTAAAATTGAACATAGTTTATGGTAAAAGTGTTTAAAATATCAGAGTGCAATAGATTTTAGTGGTAACTAATGTTACCACAGTCATTAAAAAATATTATACCTAAACTCTTTGTACTTTGCATTTCTACTATCGATCTTGTAATAGTTGAATAGCAATTTCATAACACTGTACCATCTCTTTAAGGTGCATTGATATTATGTTAAGAGGCTTGTGATTTAGTCTAAGAAATTCTGACCAATTAGTTCTGGATTGGAGTTTATTATCAGGACAGAGAAGAGCTCTATCCAAATCCATTAACAAATCATTCAGTATTCTGGTATTAAGCGTACTGTAAAATAAGAAAATATATATTTTATATTTTTGTTATTTTAAAATATGTAAAATATTAAGTAATGATCAATAAAAATTACATACTTAATATTGTCAATTGCATCAATCTTTTCATTCAAAAGTTTCACATTATGTAATAATTTTGTTACAGTGTCCAGTACTTCAACTAAAAAATATAATTGTACTTAATATCATAAGCACCAAATTATATCTAAAGATTCCATACCTTTGACTTCTAATAATTCAGTATTATTTATAGATCCCATTGCTGTAGAAACAGTTTCATTGAAGTAACTTGGATTCCATTTCATAACTAAACATTCAGATAATTTCCAAACAGTTTGACCAAATACTTGTGCTAATATTATTTTACGTAATTCTCTCTCATGATGATTTTCAGTGTATGTAACATTATTATTCTGAAGATAAAAATCTAAATAATACAAGTGTAAAATAAAAGCTGGTTACTGTACAAATGTTATTAATATTTACCATAAAAGACAATACTGCATGAGGTATATCTAAAGTAAGTCTTGAAATTGTAACATTGTGAAATGCATTGTTTAGAGACAATAATTGACTATTGTGAGATAACCAATTTTTCACAGTATTTGCAGATTCTAGGACTGTAGATTGTACTATATCAGATCCAGATACAACAAAAGGACCCTTCCCTGTAAATGATTAAAATATGCCAAGAACTGAAAGCTTCCTTATGTGTTTCAATAATCTACAAACCCTGCAAAGCTTGATGATGTATAACCAAATAAGCTACAACTTTGTGATGCATAAAAGTAGAAAATATCTCTGAACAAGGATTGGAAGATCCCGAGAATAAACAGAAAACTATTGATCTGCGCGGTTTCCACCGGTGTTCTCCTTGAATATGATTCAAAATTTTTGCCAATTCTAAAGCAATACCAACGCCTTCACCGCTAGCCGACAAAACCACATACCTGTCTAAGCATGTAACAATTAATAATACATTGCAAATTTAAATTTAAATTTATCACATAAAATTTAATTCACCAGGTTCTCTGGATCCTCGAGCGATTGCAGCGATATATGATTGGTGTTCGACAACTTTATGAATGAGCGATAAATTCGACAGGATTCCGTTCACTCGGCGCACATCAGCTTCTCCGACATTGAAAAGCTCCCATTTCCTATTTTTACAAAGTTCAAGCGTGATATAGCAATTAATGAACTGAAGTACAGTGATAAAAAATGGATATACGTTTCAAAATCAGGATCGAGTGGCGCCCTTTCCAGTTGCTCGTGCAACAGATGCTGAAGATATTCGGTGTTCTCGAGACCATTTCCGGCGAACTCAAGACGTTGCTTTTCCGCTCGGAATTCAATGGCCCTTTGCGTAGCGAATCGTCCAAGTAAAAAACCGCACAGTAGACAAAGAAAACCGACGGAGAAGAGAAACGAGAAACACATACGTTTCGTTACGAACTCGCTCGACTCGCTGAAACCGCGAGCCATTTGAAAACTAAGAACCCGCTGCATGTTGGCAATCCTTGATCACACTCGTTCAAATAATTCAACACTGGCTCTTATGATTTCATATCACGACTCTTACACATAATTACGGTAGCTATGTACATCTGAAACAAAATTTTTGAATAAGAATATACGCGTTAACATTTATAGAACATTCGACGGAAAAATTCATTAGCGTCAACGCGTCAAATTATTCAAATATTACCAAATTGATAAGGAACTAATGTTTTATTCAAGGCACTGTGTGAACGCAGTATTATCGATTAAAGAATTGCGAAAATTGTAACAGTGAATGTCAAAACACGTGGGACTCAAAGTAGAAAACGCGAAAGATATTTGTCGACCAAACTCGCAGTTCCCGCAATGCAAATTTCCATGACTGTTCTTCCGTCGTCTCCGGTCGACCAGTTGCTGTAAAACTGCGTGGGTTGACTGATATATTTGTCAGTCCGTCTCGTTCGCTTTCCACCTCTTTGCCAACGCGTCGATTATTATATCCTCTATAGACATGTGCGAACAAAATCGAAGACAACTCCTGGATCAGAGAATTCAAGTATAAAAATGTTGACCACAACTCTTTATATGTATGTTCGCTCATGAATATTATACATTTCGAAGGGAGACTATTATCTTAATTAAAATACAAACTTTTGTAACAGAAGTAAAAATACACATAAACAGGTAATTAACACGCTTGATAGCGCTCACGCAATATCGCGTGCGCGACCATTTGAAGAATGAAACCTTTGATTACCGCTGTAAATTAAATCGCGCCAAATTGTAATTGGTCAAATGAATCGTCATGAAATTAAATCACGTGGAGTTTCGGCGCATTCGATCTCTTCAAACTTCACGGCGTTTAATCAAAATATTCGCGCGCAATTAACGCTGACATTGATAATAAACTTCGCATTAAAATGTTAAGGTATAAGGAAAATGAATCGTATACATTAAATGATATTTATAATGGTAACACCATCTTTTCTGTGTTTGCGTCGGGCAACTTATTTCGGGCAATAATACGATGACGGTGTTTCGCGTATAAATAGTTTTCGATGTATTACGTGCACGTGCAAGGTTGTTTTAACTATAGATATGCTGTTTCAATCTGAAGATACGTAAATTCATGTATTTAGAAATAACGATTTTATATGCATATTTCTGAAAGGAAATAATTTTTATGTTGATTCATTTTTATAAAAATTACTCATTTAATTTGTTTACTTCCAGCAGAAACAGGCATACAAATCATTTATTTGCAATAAAATGAAGCCTGACAAAATGCTTGAAATGTACTAAAATATATATTCAATTTAAAGTAATAAAATTACATATGTAATATTACAAAAATCATAAAAAAGTTGGAAACAATTGAAGGTAACAATGGCGACTATGACGTAGTCAATGGTAACAATTAACGATGTTTATATATAGGTCTTCATCGATTTCTTTGCGTTGCGAAAAGTAAGTTCTATGGAAACAAAGAAAGCCCCCTACCACGTGCTTCGCTGAACCTATAAAATAGACATAAAGACGAGTTTCAGAACATCGAACACGCTGGCACGTGGTTGTGTTGCTACAAGAAATAAACATGAAGTTGTAAGGGTTTATTGTTTAATTGTTTTAAAATATTAATATTAATTAAATATTTATCATGTAATTATATTTTTAGGCTAAATATAATGGCATTGGATGCGATGTTATCGCGGTCTTCAGAAGAAACTCATTATATTCGCAAAAGCGTGTTAGAACACAGGTTAGTGGCACGTAAGAAAAGTTCTTCAACAAAGAAACGATGTCCATTTGATGCACTGCATTTAATCGATGAAGGCCATTTTGAGGTATTAATAATACATTCATATTGTAGAAAATACTTGCGTGAATAGTATCAAAGTACAAACTATCCATGTAGAAATTGATAAGAAGTACTGTTTTAGCATCATCTTTTAAACTGTGTAAGTAACACGAACGTGAAAGCAGAACCAAGTGACTTAAAATTAAAGTATGAATTAGGAACTGTACCTTTGGAAGAAGTAACAGCACTCCCTGTATCTGTAATGGAGGATTGGCAGGAGGTTTCATTCAATATTAACCTTTCTATATTGGACTTTACTTCAGAAATGTTAAACAATGTTTGATATTAAAGGAAAATTTAGGAACGTATGATCCTTGGAGAAGTACTGAAAAAAGGGACATTATACGGTGCTTGTATGGAGGAACAAAATCACAAAGAAAGCTGTTTAAATTATGTGAAAGGAAGAGACTAGAAAATCTTGAAGTACTTGGTATCATAAAGTCAAACTTGACAAATAACTTTGTAAGTTTTAATAATTTTTCATATTTATCTACATTTTATAAATGTATGAATATTATTTCTAATTATTTTGTATTTTAGAAACATACCAAATTAAGAAGGCCTCTAACATACCCACAATTTCTTCTGAAATTAAAAAGATTAGCTTTAGACGATTTTGATACCTTGTTGAAATCTGCTGATGTCAGTAAACTGCTTATAAGTGATGTTAATAATACCATTAATATAAAAAAGCCAATATCAGAAATTGGTGAAGAGATCAGTACTACATAAAATTTTACTGAACTATTTGGGTATGTAAATTCAATAGAATGTTTTTTATAAAAAATAAATTTAATAATCAACCAATAACATTAAATACTCCTACAAGTATGTTACAGGTATCTGTACAGAAATGGCACTCCATTCAAAAAAGTAACTCGAGTGAAAAAAAAACCAGTATTCATTTTGTTTATATATATTATTTTTGTACTTGCATAATACTGTTTTTTATTTTTATTATTTCTATTGTATCTTTGAAAAAACATGTAATTTAAAACAAAAAATAAAAAAATGCATGTTTTATATTTTTATAAACTTGTCTCCTCTTATTCAGTATATTTTGGTATGTTATATACATTAATACTTTGAGAACCTATGCAACATTGACCAAAAATACGTAGAATTAGTATAATAATAAAGCAATGGAATGGTAAAAATTATCATAAAATAGTAAATTAGTAAGCAGTAAAGTAGTATAACGGAATTCACTGCTATATTAACAGTATAATGGAGACAGGCATTCAATACAACATATCAATTTTCAAGTTATAATATTTCTTTACAATACAAAAATCATATAACAAATAAAATTTACGTATCCTAACTGTACATTCCATCCTATACATTATTCGTACAAAAGTGTTTAAGGCAAAGTTATGTCGAACGACCGGCGCTTCAACTGTTATTCCCTAATAATTCCGCTAACAACCAAGAGGACGCTTCTTTATGATGTTGCTTTATATGATTCCTTAAGTATCTTTTCTGACCGAATTTCATACCGCATTTACAGTCGAATGGTTTCTCTTCGTTGTGTATTGCCCTGTGTCGTACAACTTCCCCTTTAACGGAAAACTGTTTGCCACAGATTTCACAGGAAAATGCTTTGATACCAGTATGTGTGGTTTCATGATGAGTTAACCTTTGCCTGCTTCTAAAGTGTTTGCCACAATACGAACATTTGTGAGGTTTATAATCCGTGTGTACACGGTTATGAATATAAATGGAATTCAGTGTACGAAACATTTTTGGACAATGTTCACACGCATATGGTCGTTCACCCGTATGAATTCTTCGATGATCATCTTTCGCGCCTTTATTGGCGAACGCGCGACCGCAAATGTCGCACGCATACTTCTTCAGCCCTTCGTGGACATCCCTTATATGTCTAGCTAAATCTTGTTCAATTCTATAAGATTTTCCGCATAAGTCGCATTTGCAGGGTCGTTTATCAGAATGGACGCGAATGTGACGCAGAAATCCACGCTTTGTAAATATAACTTTTTTACATGTGTCGCACTTGTACGAAACACGGTCGTTGATTACCTGCTTCGCTTTATTTACAAGTTCCGTTTCCTCTGGATTTTGAATCCTGTTCACGTCGGAATGTCTGTTTATGTGCTTCTTCAGTTCAGACTTCTTCGTGAAGTTTCTCTCGCAAAAATTGCAAGTATAACTTGAAAACTGCTCTGTGTCTGCAGGCGTGTTTTCATTGGATGCTTCGTCACCTTTTTTCGTTTTATGCGCAGTCATATATTTTGTCCTCTCGTAATTGGAACAGTGCAAAGATATGTGCTCGTCAAAGTCTCTCTGCTGGCCGTTGTACACAAGTTTACAATATTGACAATAATGCATCTGAGCCTCGTGTTCGGAGTTCATGTGATCTATAAAATATTCCATGTTTACGAAAACGACATCGCACTGAGCGCATTGGATGTATTCTATCTCCTCAGCATTTGTACTTTCGCTATCGACAGTAGATATTTGTATAACTCCATCAGACTCGGTCTTCCACCTGTAAAATAAATATGCCGATATCATGCGAGCGAATGCCAAGTCTTACGTAAATTCTTGTTGTGGTTCTTCGAGGCACATTCTTGATTCACTTTTACATTGCATGCGAAACAAGCGTGCAACTGCTGTTTATGAACGCGTTTATGACTAATGCAGTCTTTACTACAGAACTGTTTGCCAAAATATGTTTATTTAATTCTTGTTTTCTTCTCAAGATTTTGGCCGCATAGGAAGCACTCGTGGAAAAATGTTTCTGAATTAAATGTATGAACGTGCAGAGATGCCTTCTGTTTCAACCAATTCCCTTTTAAGAGTTTGAGTCCATTTTGGTTCCTACCTAATTACAGTGCAGTCTCGCTATATGGCTCTTCTTTGTGTAACTCATAGATCTTCCTTATGCTGAGCATTACACTGCCATGGATTGTATAGTCAGGTCTTATATCGTCATACATTGTAACGTGTTGTATTATCATACACTATATTATTACGCGTTAGATCACCATGCATTATATGACCAAATCCTCCATTATATTTCCTCTGAACGCTATGCATTATACCACTGTATGGTGGAGCTCGTTGCAGAGGTCATATAGCGAGACTCCATTGTACACGACTGTCGTCAAAATTCTAAAATTTTTTTTCAATCCTTTCGCTTCTTATGAATATTATCAAAATCTGATAGATTATTTACTTTGTTTGAAAGTAGCTGAATTCTGAAATTGTTATTACGTCTTTCCATATTTTCGTTGCCTTGCGAAACGCTTGGCTCCTGTCTCACATCGTCACTTCATAATTATACCTGAAAAGAGAGTTCTCTCATTACTTAGCGGCAGCCATAAACGAGTTCGTGTTATGATTACTTTTCTTATGATTAACTAAATAGCGTTTTTGTCGAAATGAAAGATTGCAGTCTGTGCACTGCCACGGTTTTTCATCGGAATGTATCAGTCTATGACGCTTCAATTCGTATTTTATACGAAAACATCGACCACATATGTCACATGCGTGTGGCTTCTCGCCCGTGTGTTTAGTTATGTGCACCATGAGCGAAGGTCTCGTTCTGAAGCTGTGCTCGCAGTGATTGCATTTGAAAGGGAAAACGTTCGAATGCGTACGATTATGCACGAAGAGAGAAGCTTTCTGTTTGAATGATTTGCCACAAACGTTGCAAACATATGGTCGTTCCCCGGTGTGAATGCGCCTGTGATCTTCAGCGTTGCGTTTTGTGGAAAACATTCGTCCACAGATGTCACATGGGAAATTCTTAATCCCTGCATGAGTGTCTCGCAGATGCCTTGCTAGACCCTGATTCACTCGAAATTGTTTTCCGCAGAGATGACAAGTATATGGACGTTCTCCTGTGTGTATTCGCATATGCCAGGAAAATGTGTACGGTGAATAAAGATTTTTACCACATTCGTTACAGTGATAATAAACTTTTCCATCGATCTCCATTCTAGCACGCATCACCAGTTCACGATCAGCACATTTTAGTTTCTTATCCTTTTTTCCATTGAATTCTGGATGCGACTCCATCAAATGCAACTCTAATAACTTCTTCTTTGTACTCGTGTAATCGCAATACATGCAAGGGTGCGATTGCAGCCTTTTCCTTTTATATTTCTGAAACAAGTTCCACTTCTTTTGACTTTTATCCTGCATGTTCTTATCCCTGGAACTTTCAGTTCTTTTCCTGACAGATTTAGTTTTACACTTAGACATGTGCCGTATCAAATGGTATTCTCTCATGAAAACGCGTTGACAATTTTTGCATGCATGTTGATGCTTTGAAGTAGTATACTTTTTTAACTGTGGTACTGTGTCGTTTGGACAATTTGGAGGTGACAATGTTCTCGTCATTTCTGCCGTATTAAACTCCGTACTGTCACAGTTGTCAAGTGAATTACTGTCATCATTCATGCTTTCAATGAATTTTTGAGGAACTGTACAATCATTGGCTGTCATGCGCCATGTAGTGAAGGATTTCTTCTGAGGTAGACCAGACCTGGAAAAATAATAAATGTACCAGGATTTGAATAGTCTTGGTCTGTTTGTGGAAATGGCATATTAACATGCTCGTAAAGTTTCAATGTGTCTGCTTTTAATGTGATTGTTCAAATAACGTTTCTGCCTGAAAGCAAGTCCACATTTCACGCAAACAAATGGTTTATTTTCTGAATGAATCAGTTTATGTCTGACAAGTTCTGACTTCACTCTGAATCGTTTGGAGCACACATCACAGCCATAATTCTTCTCCCCTGTGTGAGTGGTTACATGGGCCAGCATTTCCTGTCTCCTGCGAAATTTTTTGTTGCAATAAGAGCATGGATGAGGAAATTCATCCGTATGTAATTTACTATGAATATACAGAGAAGCTTTTGATTTAAAAGTTTTTCCACAGGAGTCACAGACATAAGGTCTTTCACCCGTGTGCGTTCTACGATGATCCTCTCTTGTAGCTTTTGATGCAAATGACTTGCTACAAATGTCGCATGTAAAGTTCTTGAGCTTTGCATGTACATCTCTCAAATGCCTAGAAAGGCCACCAGAGTCTCTGAATTGCTTTCCACATACGTGGCAAGTAAACGGTCTTTCATCTCTATGTATACGCATGTGTCTTAAATATGAATCTTTTAACTTAAAACATTTTCCACATTCTACGCATTGATAAGATTCCTGAACGTCGATGACACTTTTCTGTTTCATGTGTTCACAATCATCAGAATTGTTTATGTCACTACAACAGATTTTACATTTTTCTTTTATTCTTTTACTATCATTTTTTGTATTTGATGAATTTGTTTGCTTATACATTTCATCCTCTAGGCTTAATTTTTCTATACTATCTGACTTATACAACTGTGAATCCTCTATTTTTGCTTCTGTGTCATTGTTTCGAAGTTGATCAGATATTATACTAGGTTGATCAAGTGTTGAATTCATCACAGTAATCCACATCGAATCACAATCCCCATTGTCCATGCTTTTTTTTTCTTGTAGCTGGCACTTTTTTCTGTGTGGCTTCCGAAAAACATTCTGCATGTCTAGGAATACCTTAAATGGTGTCCGCATATTACTGGACCTGCAAAACAGTCAATACTTGACTCCAGCTTTGCAGCTATACAATGCCGAAGATTGTTCTTGTTCAATCCATTTATCAATGGCTCTCGGAAAATTTAAGATTATCTTTCTTGGTAATCTTCAAAGTCTAACTGTTGTTATCTCATAGTCACACATTAATATATTTTCATGTTCATTTCATTTCATTTCATAGTTTTTCGCAAAACTATATGTAAATATTTTGTTTAATAGATTCATGGTAATCCTTGTTCCATGTTTCAAATAGAAGTAGTCAATGTGTAAAGTGTTCTTTAGTTTGTATACAAAATTTATTTATCCATTTTGTATTAGAGATTAAAATTGATCTCATAAAAATTACTATGAAAAATTGAATCATACTATTATATACAAATATGTACTTGTCAGTAATTTATCAAGTTGAAATTTATTTGTAGAGGGCATTTTTTCTGCACGTTCAATGTATATAATAGATTCACTGCATTATGAGTTTATTTTTTCTTTAGATAAAAGAGTGTATTACCTGTCTAAATCATTAACAGCTGATTCTCCACAAGTTTCATCCTTTCCTGCAGAGCCTTGTTGTTGATGCTAAAATAAGAAAATATACAATAACAAGATAAAGATATGTAAAATATTATTAATCTATTCTTTACACTTACAAGAGATTCCGTTACATTAGATATAGAGATAGTATCCTCCTGCATGGAAGCCTCTAGTTTCACTGAACTCTATAAAATTGATACAAATTTTAGAAATTAATATATTTTCTAGGGGTTAAGGAATACTATCTACGCATTACATGTACACATACTTGTTTTTCTTGTAGAGCACCTTGCATTTCTAATAATCGTCTTTCTGCATTTAAACATCCTTCTGACAACTCATGCCATGCTAATAATGTAGCAGCACAATGGTAACATAATTGTAAAGGAAGCGTATCATTTTCAGATATCTATGGGAGATATTAAAATATATGTTAATTGTACAAATGTTAGTTATGCAAAAATATATAAAATAAATACCTGTATTGGTAAATATTTGTGTATCTTATTACACAAATCATGTTGTAATCCTTCTCCATCAAATATTGGGATTATGTGATCATTGGTATTAGCACATATTCTGCATAAATTGGACCAAGAAAATCGTTCTTCCAATTGCATTACTGTTGATCCCTCATTTGAAACTTCAATTACATCTTGTTGTTCATCTTGAACATTTGTTACTACAAAATATCCTTCTTCTTCGCTTTCTAATTCACTACGTGTGCTTTCATTGACCATGTTTTTTACAGTTCGGATCAAAATCGACTCCTCCCCACATGATTCTAACATAATAGAATTCTCAGGATCCATCATACCTATAATATGTAGACATCACAGCACTTTTATCACTACAATATGTAATAAAAATATATTTCTGTTTCATAAACGAATACTTACAAAAAATAAATTATCATAGCAAATTATTATATATTTTATTATAAAATTTGATTTCTTGCCAAATACCATCAACACTATATTTGTAAGATTTTGATTATTTAAATTATCTTTTAAAAATCAAAACGTCTCTTATAAATCACATACTTTTTTCTTCTTTATCATCATTATAAATGTTTACAAATTGTTCAGACTTTTCTTACTTCAACACCAATTTCGTTACACAATAAAGAAGAGTAGAGAAAAAGATATAGTATTTTTAAATGCATGTAACGTAACTCATTTAATTGAATTCATTTCATCGAAATCTTACTTCGTAATTGTAGTAAGATACTAAAATTTCACATAACTCTTCTTGACATAATGATACGCGCCATTAATGGCAGGATTCTATAGAAAAGCCGATGCGAGGTAGCATCACAGAGTGCACCAGAGACGACACCCTCTGTCGGCGTTTTTGTTCTCTCGAAAAAGCTGTCCCTTTAAATTGGTTGTGCACACGAGTGGGAAATTTAAATCGAGCAGATCTACTTTCATGTAATAAATTTTCCATATAAAATTCATATTGTTTTTTGAAATATTTTTATCAATTTCACTGCGTTGAAAAGTTGAAAAATAAACGAATATATCAAAATTTAGGCTAATTAGAATTATCCTAAGGGTGGTTAAAAATTGGTAATAATTTAATGAAGTCAAAACAATTAGAAGTTAATTGGTCTTGCACTTCGATGTAATTCGTATCATATTATAATCAATTATACTAATAAAATCAAGTATATTAATTGAATTTAATGGAAAAGATACACGTGGCGCTGTCTAGTGGCAGTGTGAAGAACTAATGAAACTGCAGTTTCAAAACCGTGTAGTTCACCCTGTTCGCCGGAGAGATGGCGGTGTGCTCCATTTTCGTTGATGACGTCACTTTTTAAAAAACCGCGCGTAAATGTGAATTTTTAACGATATATAAGAATAAAACTTTTTAAAAAACATGAAATTATTATGTGTCCGAAACAGTTCGAAAAATCATTTAATAATTATTTTGCAACATATCTGCAAGAGTAAGTTAAAAAAAATAATTAATTTAAATAATTACAACAATAAATTTGTTAATAAACTATCAAAAAATATAAAATTATAAAAAATTTGATGTTAGAATTAATAAATTTGTTAATAAACTACCAAAAAATATAGAATTATACAAAATTTGACGTTAGAATAATTATACAGCAACCAATGAGAGTGGCTGCACGCTATTGGTGGATTACATGATGTCTGATTGGCTACTGTACATTACCAATCACTCTTGCACTTCGATTGGATCTATTGGTCGATTACGTGATGTCTAATTGGCTACTGTAAACTACCAATCGCACTTACACTTGAAGAGGTCGCCTGTCTCAGTTTTGTTTTGCAAGTCGAGGAGGTCGGATCGGCCCTGTCAACACTTACCGGTACGAGTCAAGGATTTACTTTACCGATATTGTGCTTGTCCCTGTATTACCTACTGTGCTTTAATAAGTGTTTAGTGTGTTTTAATAAATATTTTTTAATAAATACGCGGGTGTATTAATAAATTTTATGGTGTGATTTAACAAGTGTCAGTGACTTTACCGGTGTGTTTCCTGCATGCATATATGGATATATAAATGTACCTAGTGTACTAATACAAGTGTTTAGTGTGCTTTAATAAATATTTTTTATTAATTATGGGGGTGTATTAACAAATTTTATGGTGTGGTTCTACAAGTGTCAGTGACTTTACTAGTGTGTTTTCTTAACTGATTGTGCACGTGTATACGGATATATCAGTGTGTTTTATGGTGCGGTTATTTAAATGTTTTATTAATTTTTTACTGTTTTAATATATTTTGTGGAGTGATTATTTAAGTGTTTTTACAAATGTGCACGTGTATACGGATTTATTAGTGTGTTTTATGGTGCGGTTATTTAAACGTTTTATTAATTTTTTAGTGGTTTAATATATTTTGTGGATTGATTATTTAAGTGTTTTGGCATAGTGTTACTGGTGCTTTAGTGTACTTTATGCAATGATTATTTAAATGTTTCGGCATATTGTTACTGGTGCTTTAGTGTACTTTATGCAATGATTATTTAAATGTTTCGGCATATTGTTACTGGTGCTTTAGTGTACTTTATGCAATGATTATTTAAGTGATTTGACATAGTGTTACTGGTACTTTAGTGTACTTTATGCAATGATTATTTAAATGTTTTGGTATATTGTTACTAGTGTTTTAGTGTACTTTATGCAATGATTATTTAAGTGATTTGACATATTGTTACTGGTGCTTTAGTGTACTTTATAGTGTTTTGGTGTACATTATGTAGTGATTATTTAAATGTTTTAACAAACTATTACTGATGTTTAAACTGCACTTACCTACGTGTTCCATTATATTTTTGCAAACGTTTACCATGCTCTCTAAAGTAATTACTCAAGTACTTTGACATACATTTTCAAATATTTTACAATATTTCACGTTGTGATAAACGTTTGCAAATTTATAACCGACTCCTGCATGCCTCTATGTCTTTGTACTCAAAATCAAAAGCTTATTAAATGTTTGTACAAGTAGTTTTCGAAAAAGCGTATATGTTATCAAAATGCAAATCGACAAACACAGTTAATTAATCGTTGCGGTTCTTTTATGATTACAGACGGTCAATTGCCAAACCGCCACATCCAAATCTGTCGAAAGCAGCCAAGCAGCCAACCAACCAAGCAGTCAATCAATCAATCAGCCAACCAATCAAACTCTAAGATGCAATGCCTACCAAACGTGCTGTCTCAGATGCCTTACCAGTAAAACGATTGCAGTGGCGCAAGTCAGCGATCGGTGAGTCGCATGCTTTATGGTTCCTCCGGTTCCCATCATGTCGTAGGACGAATGGTCCGAAGCGACACGGGAACTGGTTGTATTTTATATTTTTGAGCGAGCATAGTGACCACGACTGTACGATCGTGCAAAATTCGTACACACTGTTTATTTCATTTAGTTTTCTTGTACATCGCGTTTTAACTTCTTTACAATTTAAAATTAAAATTAGTACATAGAAGTCGGATGACCCTCCGATTTCACAGTATTTTTCGAGTCACTTTTATAAAATTATAGAGTCACTTTATATTTTTACGTACGCGTGAAAATTTTTTAAATAAATGTACAAGAAAGTATCGCGGAAAACAGATTTCGATATCAAAGTTATTTACGAATGTTTGAGTCATTTAGAAATTTACTTTGATATCACAAATCTGTTAAAAATGAAACAATCGTATACTTAGATTTTTGCAAAGTGATCTTCCATTTTCCATTTTGAAAGTTTTTTAAAGTTAGAGTCAATTTTTTCTGGAAGACACTTTATTAGCATGTTTCTAATCACGTTTTTTAGCTCAGGATTTTCAGCACACATGAAGAAAACTGGTAGGTCAAAATACA